ACATCCCTCTGGAATATCCCTACTTCTTCTCTTCAGACGGGCCAGCTGAACATATTCAGAGTGGCATTTAAGAGTCACAACTCGCATAAAGTCAACACTTGTATTTGCAGCCCAGTGTGATGCATCTCTATATGCAGATCACATATATGCAATAAGCAGTGTTGGGGGTAACGTATTACAAGAAACACAAGTTACGTAATCAGATTACTTTTTTCAAGTAACTAGTAAAGTAACGAATTACTTCTTAATTTACAAGAGAATATTTGAGTTACTTTTTTTTTCCAATTTATTGTTTGACAGCTCTCCTGTCCCTATGTTGAGAGAAATCAGAAGATGTTACTGTAGTTCTAAAATAAATATGAATATGCATTAATTCATCTCACTCACACACAAAAAAAACACGGATTCAGTATTCCTCAAAATGAATAATAATAATGCAATTCAGAATATGACGCAAACCTGCAATAATTAAATGTTGAACAACACAAATATCCTTTATGTATTTAATCCCATTCTATTAACCAATGTCTTTGCTTCTGACCTTCAATGATCCAGTTCAACCATACTAATAAGCAAAAATTACTTTAGACAAACATTTGTGTGTCTTTTTTTATTGCTGAAGTGTGTTGAAATTTCTTCTTCTGGATTCTACTGTACGGACGTAAATTTACTTTCCCTTCAGCCTGAGGCTTATTCATTTCACTTTTCGTGTGAATAGGCTTTTATATTTGCCAAAAATATAACTTTTTTATTTTAAAAACAAACAAGCATGCCCTGTCCAGATTTAAAAAATAACGTAATGCATTACTTTCCATAAAAAGTAACTAGGTAACGTAATTAGTTACTTTTTTATGGAGTAACGCAATATTGTAATGCATTACTTTTAAAAGTAACTTTCCCCAACACTGGCGATAAGATGAAAATGAAGGATGGAACTTGATTTTATCCAACATGAAATGATTGAATTGTGTGGTGATATCAGGTGAAAATAAAAGACATTTCAGAGATAGAATGAATTGATACTATTTTATGAAAGACTTTGAGTAGTGTGCACTAAAAAATAAAACTGAGAACTGTTAACTAAGAACTCAGTTTTAAAATATTGCAACATTGCATTGTTGTTGTTGTTGTTGTTTTCTTTTGACTAGTCTCGGCTTTAGACATTTATAAATCTTTATTTTTAATATATAATTATTTTATATAATCTCTACTGTTCAAAAGTTTGGGGTCAGTATAATTTTTATTTATTTTTTTTCAAATAAATGTTGTTCTTTTGAACTTTCTATTCACGTTTTCTACAAAAAATACCATTCAGCACAACTCACAGTTTTCAACACTGGTAATATTAAGAAATGTTTCTTGACCACCAAAGCAAAACAATTTCTAAAGGATCACGTGACACTGAAGACAGGAATAAATTACATTTTAAAATATATTCTAATAGAAAACGGTTATCTTTATAGTTATATTACAGTGCATTGAAGTAATATGAGCGTGTTATTTGAGACGTTATCGCCAGCATTGGTTAAAGTAAGTGGGGTTTTCATGTTGACTTAGGAGACACTTAGTGAGTGAGCAGCTGATGTGTTTTGGATACATTATTGTGGGAGGATTCCTCTCTCAGCATAATGTCCACCCATGACTCTCCTTCCTGAAAGCAGTTTGATGAGCTCCAAAAAGTGTCTAATCGATCGCTTTGTTTTTTTTCTCTTGTTTTCATGCCAATAAGACTTCATTTGCAAGCTTGCACTGATACTCATAAGAAACCCTGAGTGCAAACAAGCATGAAAAGATTGACGAATACATCCAGGGTTGGATGAATGCGTTTGGCTCTCTTATATAATTAGGCCATGAAATAAGTTCAGCGGCTGAATCTATTAACTTTAGTGTTGAAATAGAGCCCCTGAAGTAATAATTACTCCAATTCATCAGATGGCGTGTTCTGTCATGGGCATTACTGAACTGAGATTCACAGGTTTTCTGTGTGTTAGGATTTTTCTTTTCAGAGCTCATTATATGGAGTTTCTCTTAAGAGATTTTAGTCAAACTGTTGGCTTGGTTTCTTTCTTAACCGAGAGTAAATCTACCTTTCTGTCTGTCTTCTTTTGTTTCTTTCAGGTGTAATGAGAGGGCAATTTGTGAGCAGATGATGGACGTTGAGACGTCGTATACAGAGTTCATAAACTCTGATCGTACAGGTCGCAGGAACGCAGTGCCAGACATTAAAGGAGAGGCAGTAGCGATGGAGACCAGTGAACTAACCAAAGACATGGCTCAGATGGACCTGAAAGCTGCAGGTACGTCACACACCGCTTTCCAGTTCTTCTTGCAAGCCAGCACCTGTATTGATATTTCTCCAACATTCTCTTCTTCTCCTTTAGAGTTCTCCTCCTCCTCCTTTCTTTATCATCTTCTTCTGCTTCTCTTTCTCTGTCTTCTCATTCTCCTCCTCATCCAACTTCTCCTTCTCCTTCTTCCCCTTCTTATTTTACCCCCTTCTTCTCCTCATTTCTTCATCTTCTTCTCGTCCTCCTCCTCCTTGTCCCTCCTCCTCCGTTTTCCTCCACCTTCAAATACTCCTTCAAACATTTTGTGAATAATTTTAGACTAAGGTAGACTATTAATTTGGGGTTTTGTACTAATGTTGTACTTCAAATAAATATAAGATTGAAATTGAAAAACTTTGCTTTGTTAGGATGTTCACTGTTCAGAACTAAGTATGTAACAAACAGAAATGACGTCATCTGTCTTGCATTTATTTGCATAAGGAGTTGCAACTGTTCCTCTTTCTTTTAGCTTTGTTTTAGATCATCCATACCTTTTTACACTGAAAAGACATCATGTGAACAAGAAAAACATACAAGTTTAAACTATAAAGTGGCTATAATGCTATGAAAGCTAGCCTTACCTAAAACATTGCAAATGCACATGCACTGGTATTTCCTTCAGTACTTTATTGGTATTCCGACGGCAGTAATTCACATTAGTAATTCTGCAAAACTAGTGCTGTTCATGTGATGAAAGAACAGATAATGTCTCCCGACTGCCAGTGGTCTATCAGGTCATATTTATTATGCAACAGTGCATCAGTTTGGCCCCTGTAATGACTTGCTTTGTGCATACGGTAAGACGGTGATACATGAACACATTACAAGTGTAGATCACAAAAGAGGATGTGAACCAAAGACTGGCCTTTCTTTCAGTGTCCCTTACTTTATCCAGGACACAGCTCTGTAAGGTCAGTGTCCACATTGAACACAAATAGGTTTGGTGAGGTTGAATGGAGTCTGTCAGCGCTGACAAAGATTTATTATCTGCCCTCTCAACAATAACTGCTTCCTTGACCGTTTCCTATTCGTATGGGAACTTTTCAACTCTTTCCTACTGAAATAAGAGCAGCATCTGTCTATCTGACCCAGTTTCCTTAGTTCACATTCTTGGCACCATCTCTGAAATAACCTGAGACTTTCTTATGACCACGAGTACTCCGTTAAGAATGTTTAGCTGGAGAATAAACCGGGCATGTGCGCATTTAATGTGGCAAAAAGGTTTGTCATATCTGTGTCTTATAGAAGGAGATGCTTCCGGATCTCCTGCCCCTGAAGCAGAGGCATCTGGGAGCCAGGATAAACAGGGGACAGAGGGACCGTCATAAAGATCAAGAATGACCTGGAGGAGAGAGGAAAGCTGGGGAGTTCTCTCCTTTTCTCATCAAAATTCTCCTCATCTTTGCTCATCAGGCAGCAGTGAAGAGCTCCTCTCATAGACTGCCATTAAGGTGGACGTCCACCCATTGCATGCTGTTGAGTGCCTAAGAGACAGATGGAGAAGACACTGCCTTTGCAAACACCACTAAATGGGACGAATCTGTCGAGGACTGTATTCATTCACAGCGCTGAGTGAGGGAAGATTGTTTTTTTCTAACAGAGGTCGAACAGAAGCACAGGCGTTTTGATATTTTTCCAACCTAAACTTAAACTAAGCAGTTCAATCTTGTGTTGAGTTACTGGTAAAACAAATACTCACGAGCTACTGTAAACTATAAAGTTCCAAATATAGCCTTTTTATTACAGCCTATGACAAGGATGGCTCAGTTGAATGTTTTTTTTTTTTTTACAATGCCCACTAGTTGAAGGAGGTCTGATTATAGAACAGAACTCCCAGATATTGCCTGAGGTCAGAAGAGATTTGTTTCTACACTTCATTATATACTATTACACAAATGTAACATAATTAACAATATTTATGTAGTATCTGAGTTACTGTTTTCTGCTCCCGGCACGTTTTTGTGGTTTTTGTCAGACTCTCAGAAACACTCGTTGAAACACATTGCATTTATATTGTGACCTATAAATGTAAGTACCTCAAAATAAACAGGAATGACATTATTGCTTTCAGTTTCTTATTTATTTATTTTCAAGTTGGGTGTGGATGTATTTGAATGAAAAGTATATTTGCATTGGCTTTCCATTTCTCAAATTTAGGAAAATTATGATACAAGTAAGGGATAATGTACAATCATTACATCATTATACTCACCAAATAAATATGCGGACAAGAAAATGAAATTGTTGAATAGCTGAAAGGATACTTTTACATCTGCGTAAAAATGCACTTGGAAGATTAACAAACGCAAGTTTGTTTGTTTTTTTAAATGTGAACTAATTTTACCTTGAGCGCCGCGTTTTAGAACGCAGTGTTATGCAGGAGATGCTGCAAAACACAGAGAACGGAACGGGCAAAGATGTCTGTCTAGGTAGCGCATGCTTGCATTGAAATAGTGAAAAGCAGCGGAATGGAATACGTTCTTCTTTTTTTTTTACGACACTTAATAATTGAAACGCAAGGTGGCGCCAGTTGCGTTTGTATGTATGTATTTTCAGTTATAACCGAAAATTTGTACATCAGGTCGCAGAGTGCCACGATTGACCGATTTAGACCCTATTAATTATAACATTAAAAACAGTTTTGTCATAAACAGGCCAAAAACCACACAACCATTCAGATGCAAAATTATTTGTATTGATAGTTTATACAGTGACAAAGCTCTCAGGCCCTTCCTTCCCACATTTATAGTCCGTATGTTTTCCTATGCAGTTCACATTATACAACACAAAATGTAAAACCTGACAATTATTTTTCACTAGGCTGATTAACTCCATAACTAAGTTACATGAATAGTCTTTTGGTAAATGCCCTCTGGTGTTAGAACCAAGGAACGACCAGATTTAAAGGGGTTTTGCACAGCATTTCATCATCAGACATCTAATAACAACTTTAATATCAATAGACAACTGTTACCCAAAGGTTTGTATATTGCATATAAAATATACATTAGATGAACACCAGACATAAGATCATATTCTGGTTTAATGTTTTGGATTTATACATTATTTCCATTGTAAAATTGTAGAATACAGCTGAGCTACTATTTTCATTCTCATAGCACCATTCACGTTATACAGCTTAACATGCTTCATATAAAGACTTTTTTTCTTTATTACATTATGGTCATATTCTGTGCGTATACTGAGAAGAGCATAAAGTATAGTGACTTGAGTAAATGTTTAGGCTACAGATATTACAATACTTGTAAAAATTTTGATGTAGATGAAAGGCAACAGCATTTGGTCAAACCCAGTATGCTGGAACAGCGGTTAATGAAATATAAAATACATTTGTAACACGTATTTTGATGAATGGCATGTTAACTTCTAAAGTCGAATCTTTGTTGGAGATTTTTCTGTATGGTCTTTATTATTTTTGTGTAAATATTTTGCTGAGAAACGCGTTTATGAGTTCTCCAGTTTCAAGGAATCAGGAAAAGGCAAATGTCCTGAAAGGCTCTGCTCGCTGCATACTTGTTTATAACAGTGCTGAGCTCAAAAGCCTGTGCTTTTCAGCATGCCATAAGCCTTAGAGAGTTGTTCAAGAAGCTCCTCTTTCTCCTCCGCGGGAAGAAAGCAGGACTTAGCTGCATTTATATTCTGTGAAAACAAGCAGACAGGATAATTCAAGTCACTTTTTTGCCATGATATGGTCATATCAGAGTCCATTCGAGAGCCTGTTTTGGCAAATTGTGTCTCACCAGTCTCTTGAATTCCTCTTCAGTGAAGTCCATGTATTTCTGCACCACTTGATAGTCCGAGTTCAAGGTGGAGTCAAAGATGGTAGGGTCATCTGTGTTTAAGGAGTAGTTAGCTTTGTCCTTCATGAATCTGAAACACACAACCAGATTTTTCAAACTTGAACTAGTTAACTCTGGATCATTTTAAACCCCGGGTAAACGGAATCCTAGGTTATATTCTTTAACTTTCCACGTGATTTCGGCCCTCTTTGCCACCTATACTGCCAAAATGGCCAGAAACAGCACTGCTGCTTGTAATTTACCCAAGGTTACCCATTAATCCTGGGTATTCATAAACTTACGTTTCAAACTGTACATTCCCAAAACCAGTTCTTATTTGCCTTGTTTTGAGTGTCACTGCGCATCCTCATATTATATATTGCTTTGTTTTCCTGAATGGACTTTTCAGACTATAAAGGTAAGAATCCAATTTACTCCAATTCATGTGTTTTCCGTCAACATTTGACTTTTTTCCCTTCAAACGCTGAAACTACCGTGGTCACGTTTAGTTGACTGTCCAAAGCACATGAATATGATGCATGCGATTGGGTGTATGTTGCTAAGCATCTAGTTATACCACTATAACACAACATTGTTTCACATTGCACAAGTTTGGCGCCGCAAAAGAGCCACTAACCATGCTCTGCAGTAGGGTTTCATAACCACGGGTAAAAAGCGGTGCTAAGCCCACTTCTAATTAACAAATGTGAAACGTTCCTTTAGGGGTTAAAAGCAGGCTTTAGACGAATGATAAGTGCAGTATCAAAAGCCCTGCGTGAATTGTCCAGTTTAATTCTGTAATGTACCATATTTCTGAGTGAAACATGATAGGCACACAACCGTACCTAATGCATTAGATGGTGAAATGCAACAGAAATGGAGTCAGAATGGGAGTTTGCTAAAGCAGTGCTAAAATAGCTATTTGGCAATTTGTTAACATTATCTAATAGCCTAACTGTTGTTAATGAAAAAGTGGAATAACATGTACCAACAAATTGTTCACAATAGCACCAGGAACATGCATTAAAAAAGTAAACATTAGAGTAAATAAACCTATTCTCACGTGATGAGAGGATGTTTGGTGAAGTCTGGGTCACAGGCTCCTGTCAATCTGCTAGAGATAGGACACATCTAGAGAAACACAAGACACACACACCATCAGGATCACAATGACACTGAAACATCGTGTAGATTAATATCCATCTTTAAACATCTCATAAATATTCTGGTAACAAAAATCTAAATATTAGTACACTGAGACAGGGTGCGAACTACGGGGGAGCTAGGGGGAGCTCGGCTCCCCTTAATAAGACATGGGCTCCCCTGAAAACATGATTTGTGAAATTTTGGGGGGTCTCAAAAAATATTGACAATGTGTTATTTTGACGTGCAATTTCAGTTTTGTGTAATGTGATCATCGTGGATTATTATGTGTAAAATTGCAAAAATATCATTCATTCATGCATGATGGCGATTTAAACCTAATTCACTTAAATAAAGATAACTATACATGCTATTCTTGTCATAAGCATCGAGGTGTGGGGGCGCTGTGGTGCAAATTCCACGTAAAGTAAGCACTCATAATGTATGCAATAATGTCTGGTTATCTGTGACAAACATTTTTAAAGATAATGTATGTAAATGTGTGTGTGTGTGTGTGTGTGTGTGTGTGTGTGTGTATCAATATTGAAAACAGTTAATATTTTACTTACTATTTTAATTATTTTTTAAATCTTCATTCGTCGTCTAAATAACATCTTGGGACAAAAGTTGGTTAAAAGCCATTAAAAAATGGCTCAGATAATTGAAATTAGTTCTGATAAAAGCTTTATCATTGTTTGCAGATGCTAATTTTTTATTGACCCTAATATTGGGTTGTTACTGTATGTGAGCACTTTGACCGAGAATGGAGTCTTGGTGCAACATGCAGATATACATGACGCATTGTAAAGTTATGCACGATAATGGCATTTTTATCAGACTAATGATGTAAATGTATGTGGGTGTGTATCTCAAAGTGATTTCTGTAACTGTCAGGAAGCTGCCATCTAGTCTTACCTCAAAATGCATGTTTTGTTGGAGCAGTTGTTTATACAGAGCTTGATCTTCAAGCGTGTGGTATCCATGGCCAATGCGTTCTGCTTTCAGAACTTCCACAGCCTGCAAAGGGAACGCACATTATGGGAAGAGTTGGCACATAGTTTCAGATCCGAGGGTGTTTTCTTGTGTATTGACATTTTGAAAACTGAGCTGAGTGGTTGTGGTGTTTTCTGAAATATCTGTCTTTTTTTTATTTAGTACTTGGGAAGGAAATGTACTTCCCAGACAGAACTTCCTCACAGAATAACTAAAGCTGATAGATAAGAACAGCCTCAGCATTGTCACACAATTTTCCATCTGTACAACAGATAGATGGCGAATTGTTATGTTTTCGTGAGAAGCACATTTTGAGTGGTTATTGTATTCTTGCTGAATACATTATAATAAATGCTGAGCAAAAGAGGAAACTCGTACCTCCCTCACCACACCGGCATGGCCCACTTCTCCAGCATGCACTGTTCTGTGCACCTCACTTCTGACTGCTTCCTGTCAAAAACAAAACTGTGAACTCACAGAACACTGCCAGCAATATGTTTTTCTGCAGATGGGATAAAAGCACCAAGCAGCATCACGGCATCTGTAGTATGTACTCTATTATTCTTGCCTCATTAAACAAAAGATATTGCTTTCAAACAGTGTTTGTAAGCTTCAGTTTAGATCACGGGATGATAAGGAACTTGTTTTGTTTCCCGAACATCTCAGCTGTGGCTCCTAGCATGTGAATGGTCTAAACAGATGTCTCTGTCTGTGATATCTAAATTATGGATTATATAAGAGTTTCCAAGCCAACAAAGTACAATTAAATCTCCTAAAGTTTTAAATACATCAACTAATCAAAGTTTTACAGTGATGTTAGACTTGTACATGTAAAGCACTTCAAATAGGCAAAGTGATTCATTTTTGCTAGGAAGGGAACTCAAGGAAAAAGACGACGTTGACAAAATGATATGTTGATAACAAGACATACGGTCATCATGTATGTTCTGTCAAATTCTGAGAATCCTGTGCAGGCAGTTTCGTAACAGACCTAATAAAGATGAGTTTAATCTCTCACTAGATGATCCAGTGAGAAAATTGCAGCTCATATGGAGTATGTGTGGTTTCTTACCTCAAATGCTCTCTTGTGTCCTGGGTACGACACACAGTCCATGGATTCATCTCCTGCTAGGTCTATTCCCACAACTCCATCTTTACTATACTTCTTGCACAGCTCGACCACGTCCATAGACCAATCTACAGCAGCAATAAGCATTAGATTATAACAGTCAGTGATTTGGGTGTATTATCATTTCCTCATATGCTGCATATATAAGCTGATAATTGCATGATTTGGCCGATGCATTCATTATATAATATGATTTATATATATATACACACACACACATATGTGACCCTGGACCACAAAACTAGTCATAAGGGTCAATTTTTCGAAATTGAGATTTATACATCATCTTAAAGCTGAATAAATAAGCTTTCCATTGATGTTAGGTTTGTTAGAATAGGATAATATTTGGTCGAGATACAACTATCTGAATATCTGGAATCTGAGGGTGCAAAAAAAATCTAAATATTGAGAAAATCGCCTTTAAAGTTGTTCAAATGAAGTTCTTAGCAATGCATATTACTAATCAAAAAATAAGTTTTAATATATTTACAGTAGGAAATTTACAAAATATCTTCATGGAACATGATCTTTACTTAATGTCCTAATGATTTTTCGCATAAAAGAAAAATCGATAATTTTGACCCATACAATGTATTTTTGGCTATTGCTACAAATATACCCCAGCGACTTAAGACTGGTTTTGTGGTCCAGGGTCACATTTACATATATATTTTTTTTCTTTTTTCTCTAAAGGATCATGTGACACTGAAGACTGGAGTAATGGCTGCTGAAAATTCAGCCATCATAGAAATAAATTACAAAATAAAAATTTCAAAATGTAAAATATATTCAAAATATAAAATGGTTATTTTTAATTGTAATACTATTTCGCAATATTAATATTTTTACTGTATTTTTTATTAAATAAATTATATAAATGCAGCCTTAGTGTACAAAAGCTGCTACTTTCAAAAACACAAAAGATCTTACAACCCCAAATTTTTTAACAGCAATGTAGAAGACAAACCTCTTCAGCTTCAAGTGTTACATGAATTGTGTCTCTATTTACAAAACACATTGCATATGAATCACCAAGGCTTTCAAATTCACTATAGCATTTCCAAACAGTCCATCTTGACTGAATTTAAGAGGGGAACAAAAAAATCTGAGCCAATCTGCAGGAGGTTCGGCCAGTGCCGTGATGATTAAACACTACTGGGCAATGAGCAGGGATGAATGGGTTTTAAATGAAGGATGACAGTGAGATAACGCCTCTCAAACACACAGAACACTGGGTGGGGGATGGTGGGGAAGAGGTGAGAGTGCATTACTTGGCATGTGACTCAAGCAGCACAGAATGGACCTGACTTTGGTTTTGAAGGCCTTCTCTCCCTCTTTGAATCCCTGGTTCACCAGGTCCACCACATCATCGGGAGTGATGTCTCCTCTGGGAGGAAGAGGGAGGACAGGCAAGAACAAAGACAAGAACAGAGCTATTGTGCAAGAGAAAATGTAAACCGGCATGATGTAACATAAGAACAATAAACAATACATGCCATAAACAGCTTTTGATTAGAGCAAATATGGTACACATACGGTTTTTGGTTCCAATGTAGAGGATCCACTCCCTTGTTGGCCAGCAGATGAGGGCTGTATCTGGCTTCAACATAGATCACTCCCTCTTTGGCCTTTGTCTCTACAAACTCATAAGCTATTCTCTTGATGGCCTCTCTGTCCCCTCTGCAGATGAGAAATGAAACCGATAAGATACCAAGACAACCCCACCCCCTACCTGAATAGCCCCTCGCTACCTTTAAGACCTACAGAGTCAGAGTCCCTCACTACCTTCAAACACTGTATATAGTATATATATTGTAGCTTGTACTTTTCTGAGAAATGTTGTATTGTGACACTTGTTACTGCTTGTTACTTCATGTTACTGCTTCCTATGAATTACTTCCTTAGAATTTCATCACTTATAAGTTGCTTTAAAAAAAAGCTTCTTCTAAATGAATACAAATGTAATGAGGCTATTAGAAAACTCAATTTATGTATATACACGTGTGTGTGTGTGTGTAAAAAACATACATAAAAGCACTTCTATTCCTAAAAAATACATTAATTTATTCATGTGTTATTAATTAGAAGATAGTATTTTAATGTGTTATGTAGAAAAACAAATCTTCTGTAACATTATGTAATAACACATGGATAAGTTCATTTCTTTTTTAGGAATAGAAGTGCTTTTATGTATGCGCTTTTACACATACATAAAAAAAAAAATATATA